CCGTGTGAGTATCTCTCATTTTACGCACACACTCACGGCAACAACGTTGTTTTAGATTCAGCAAGTTGGAACACAAAGTTCCAAGTAGCACGGGGTATGGTGAGCCCGTAGTGGACTTACCTGGCACAGGAGCGGGGCTGGGTGTGTGTGTCTGTGTGTGTGTGTGTGTGTGTATGTATACCTCCTCATACTCTAAGCTGTGTGTATATATCGCGGACTTGGTGAAGCGCGTAAAAGTATATATACGTATATCCGTTCGCCTCATTCTCTGGTGTTTGGATTTTGCCTTCTGCCTGGAAAAGAAAATTGCGATTTAATGCTTTCTATGTCATTTTTTTTCTGGGGAGGGAGTCTGGGGGATTGGGTAGGGCGGGTGAGAGGGAACTTTGTTGCACCAAACATTTCTCATTGTCGACACCAACCACGTAAGTTGGTACGTTCTTTAAAGTTTGGAGTATTAACCATTTTATGTTTCATTTTTCTTGTTTTCGTTCGGCTTCATGTTCTAAACATTTTGGTCAGATCAGAATTTCATTATTTTTCATTTCATTTTCAGTGAATGGTTTTCTCTCTTATATATTAAGCACGCCACGACGTTATATATTATATATTTCTCTGTTCTTATTAATGTTAGAATATCTTATTATAGAACAATTATATATTGAGCACGCTCTCTTATATATGTAAGGAATATTTCCTTCTCTACGACATTGACATATTTGTTATATATGAGCTTGTGTAGATTAATGCCATACTTCATTTTGTCGATATTATATTTACTTTCTGTGTCGATAGTCAATATTTTCTCATAAAAAATATATGATTGTTATCCCTCTTAATTTTTATCTGAAGGTCGTTTTCTTTCTCTGGAACATTAACCGCTATTTTTCCCATACATTTCCATTAATCGGCCTGGCCGTAACTGGATATTTTTGTATTTATTTATATATATATATAGATATATATATATATATATATATATATATATATATCTATATATTGATCTCTTTATTATTTTTATTTGTTTATTTATTAATTTATTTATCTATATACTAAAAGGTGCGTTGGATTTGTAATTATATAACATTGGTGTTCTTACATTTTTTCCAAGCCACTAACACACATAGTGTTTTTTTTTGCGAGGCCGTAGAAGGTATCATTCAGGTTAGTGGCAAGGTGGTTTGATGATGACTCGAATGGTGACTTGATTCTTCTTGACTAATATCGGCAATTCAAGGTTTGACTTTCACAGTAATGAACTCACTCACAAACTCGTAAATATATCAATACGCTCACAATATAAACTCACACTCTCTGGCAAACACACAATAAATAACAGTTTGCCAATAGACTAGTACTAGAGTTAAGGGACAAAAGCTACTAGGAAAAAATACATCATCTGTGTCTCAGAAATGAAGAATACAAAGAAGGGACATAATCGCGACATTCAAAATACTTTGATAGTAAAAATAGAGTGGACATGTACAATGAGCCAGAGTAGCATTAGTTATAACCTTAGCAATGAACAGGTAAATTAAAGTAATGAGGCGAGCTAGAAACAGAGGTACTGAAGGCTGACTACATGTGTGAATTCTTAAGTATGAGAGATCTTCACTATGACTGTCGATTGAAAGTGAAATGATAGATCTAGGATCTGGAACTCAGTCCTCGTGAAATCTGCTAGTTGAGGACGCACCCACACCAAGGTAGAGAGAAATAGGACAGATATGATCACGAAATACAAAATACAGAGGGAAATTGTTGTAGACGAGGACATGAGGCTATTCGACATGTGAGGGACAAGCACCGTGGATTATTATTATTATTATTATTATTATTATTCACAGAGAGTAATCACACTAATGTGATGTATCAGTGAGAAAATCCGCAGGAATCGTGATGAGGATTCGAACCTATGCGGTGGGTTCGAATCCTCGTGTGTTCAACAGAACTCCAGGTTGCAATACTTTTGACCATGTCGTGACCTGTTTGTCTGTGGCGTGTGCGTGGGAATAACCACCACATAGGTTCGAATCCTCATCACGACTCCTGTGGATTTTCTCATAATTATTATTATTGATGACCCAACTACACATCAGAAAATGGAGAAACGACGATGTTTCGGTCCATCCAAGACCATTATCAAGTCCTGTAATTACACGACTTGATAATAATAATTAGTAAGTCGCGTAATTACTATTATCAGCATCAGATTATTATCAACAATCTGCTATTGATAATAATCTGCTGCTCAAAGTTTCCGTGGCCACTGAGATAATTTTGTAGTAAATTATTGCCCACGTGAGGAGTGTTGGCGGCACTGGTGAGACTAAAGTTGTTATATACGGTTCCCGCCTGTGCTCCCACAGCATATTACCAGAGTCCCCCCGGTGGCTACTGCACACCAGGAGGTGGAGGGAGGCGGAGAAAGAGCTGCAGAGAGCGGCCAGGTGGAACGGCAGGAAGACCTCAGACTGCAGTTGGATCCTCTCCACCATCTCCCAGATGAAGGCTGAGGTTAGTTGGGGCTGTATTCGTTGTATGTCTGTGTAGTCAGGAAAGGGACTAGGAAAGAACGCGGGGTTATTTTGGGAAGGAATGGTGTCCAATCACTTGAACGGTCGGGGATTGAACGCCGACCTGAATGAAGCGTACTCACCTAGTTGTACTCACCTAGTTGTGCTTGCGGGGGTTGAGCTCTGGCTCTTTGGTCCTGCCTCTCAACCGTCAATCAACAGGTGTACAGGTTCCTGAGCCTATTGGGCTCCAATAGGCTCACACAAAGCGTGTGTGTGTGTGTGTGTGTGTGTGTGTGTGTGTGTGTGTGTGTGTGTGTGTGGTGTGTGTGTGTGTTGGCACCAGCCACGTCGACCATCTGACAGTTGGTTACTCGTCCGTTATAAATCACTCGAACACAAGCCAAAGGTCTCACTAAATTTGGCCTGACACCTGGAGCTTCTACCATCTATAGTGCGTGGGTGACTTTAACCTTCATGTTTCGGTACATGCAATGGACGCTTGTTGCCTTGAGAAGATTTTAGACTTGAAACGCGCAAGATTAAGGTGGGGTCAGGATTCACAACGCACTTAAGCGTCCACTTATGAGATCTGGACCTCTTACGTCGATTATGGCGGCTTAATCTCTATTTACAAAACAATTTACGAGGTTTGAAGAGTTACGGAATGGTCTTCAAACCAAACTTATTAATGTTATGGACAACCTCACAACACTTTAGACTTCGTAACTGTTTAGTTAATACAGACCAAGATGCCATGATCGAGATAAAGAGGTACAAATCTCGTAAATGGACACGTATTTTTGTTTTTTAATTGGCTTCAAAAAAACATATGTTTACACATTCATTTTTTTCATATTACGAGAGATTTCATGTAAACAATGCCGACAAGGGCTACGCCACCCCTCACAAAGTCCTTCTCCCAGTCGCTGTTGTTTAAAAGCTGTTTTAACCTCTCACATCCTAGCATTACAATAGAGTAGACAGTCGCTCCTCCCCCGGCAGCGTCATGGCAGCAGTCATCCTGGGAGACAAGGGGGCACCACGAAAATAATTACAAAAAAGCATCTTTCCTTTGGCTGACAACCTAACGCCACCGTCATTAACCTGTCGCCGTCAGCTGTACTGCTTGAACACCTTCAAAACTCCTCGGATATATCGCAGCCTCATTCCGCTTATTGCTCCGTAATTACTTATCGAATATTTAACATGTAGGTTAATTAGCTCTGTCGATCACCCAGGTGACGGGAGCCTCGTAAGTACCTCGCTGGTCGTTCAACCCGTCCTTCTAATAGCAAGTCGCATGTTGACGTATATAAGGCCAAAACTCTCGAACGAGAACATGGTAGCGGCTCGCGAAATTGACATTATGTCGCGTTTTCCATAGCCCGCGTCGCCACACCCCCGTGCTACTTGGAACTTTTTCGGTTCTGAGTTGCTGAATCTATAACAACCACAACAACAACAACCTCTCAGTCCGCCTGTCACAACCACGTCTCACAATTTTGTTGTACCGGTGTATAAATCATTTTTGTTTTTTATGGGATATGGAATATCTGTTGTATTTGGGTAGAACAAGAGAGAGAGACTGCCGAATCAATAGGACAATAGACACGTTGAATTCCACATTATACGACACACTTTGACTACAACATTTACGTGAGACACTTTGAACTGAACATCACACAAGGCATTTGAATTTAAAATTATATTTGACATTTTGAATTCCACACTACACAAGACACTAATACATTTTGAGTTTGCATTAAATACTTTAAACTCTACATTGCAGGAGATATTTTGAATTCCAAATTATACGAGGCACTTTGAATTCCACAGAACACCGAGACATTTCTATATCCTCATCAATCACGAATCTTCCCCTGCCGTGCCTAAAACCTCCTGATGGAATCCTAAAATTAGCGTTTTAACCTATGATCGCTAAACCAAAAAACTGTCGCAATAGTAACATTCCCCCTACACTGGAATACCAGAGTACGTCTTTCGTGACTTCAATCTCGATGTGAAAATCGTGGTTCTCAAGTTCAAGTATGTTTATTGAGAGAAGAAAGAAAGAAATACATCTCAAAGGGATAGAGTAGCTTAAATTAGGCTATTTCTACCCCCTCTGTGGTTCTCAAGCTGGCGGCAAAATGACCCTCCCGTCTCTATATACCTCCCTCTGTTTCCTTTGCTCTTACAATTGCTTTTCCTTTTCCTGCGTCCCCCTTTTCTTCCCTCCTTTCCACCGTCTCTCCCTCTGTTTCCCCATCCTCTGATCCCTCATACTCGTCTCCACCAAAACTCATTAAGCCCGAGCAGTCCGTGTTCGGTGGCAGAAATGTTGACATTCCCTGGCGGCTCCTAGTCCTTGCCAGGGGGGAGCAAAAGTGATAGTAATTGCAGTAATAGTATTAGTAGTAATGGTAAGACAAAAATTAATGTAACGGCAGTAACTGCAGCATAAGTGGCGATAGTACCAGTAGCATTAATGATGATGATACTGTAAACATCTCACGAATTCGTTCCAGTGCATGAAGGCAACAACTACTGGCTGACTTGTTGACAGTTGCGCGCGGGACCTTCCTGGCCTGCTCCCAGTCCTGGGAAACTTTAGATAAAATCTGTGAGTAATTTCTATGACATACACTCGTATACACTTTCATACTCATACATCTGTCGGAGAAAGGGCAGCTATACTTCTGTCTCCGAGGTATATAAGCTTGTTGTTCCACATTTGTAACGCAAGAAAATACGAGACAAGAAGACGAAGCCGTCACATGGTTATAAGTTTGTCTCTGCTAGTTCTACACCTCCAGCCTTCCTGCAGCGACCATGGCAGGAAGAGTCGTTCTCGTTGGCAGCTAGATCCATTGCTGGTTGCTACTACTCTCCAATCCTCTGCACGCTCTCCCAAACGCATCATAACTTGGTACTGCTTGTTCTAGTTCCTTTCTGTGGAACCTTGGTTCTCAGGCATTAGCCTTCTCATTATATCTGGCTGGTACTTCCTTTTTCTGCCAGCCGTCTCCAACCTGCCTACCGTCGTGTCTGGGGACATTCTTCATGCCAAATTTTTACGTTCTTATTCTTTGAGATCTGAAAAGGCACACAAAGAGTTTAGATATCTTCATGGTCGTCCGTACATGGTTGGCGAGTCCAGGAATGATACCTACTTGAGGTCTGATGAAGATGAACAAATTCATTTGAATTTGTTCATTTGATGCATCACGCTATTGTGATTTCTGTGCGTGTCTGATGAAGATCTTTTGTTCACTATATATTCCTTTTTGCACTACCCACTCACAGGACGAGTATGGGGTGCACAATAAACTAGCCGCCTCCGACGGCAACAATTAATCAATCCATCGTCATGCTGGTTTAGAACTTTCTCCTGATAATTACCTTACCTTACCAACACCATTAGTCATCCACAACCATTAAAATCTCCTCAAGCTGCTCACAGTTTCACCACCGATGACTCCAGAAAGCATTGAGCTAAATAACCTGGAGGGGGGGGAGGGGGGAAGAGTGTGATTCAGTGCCTCTAACCTCCAAAAGCCTCGTCTATAAGTTCTTTTATCTTCCTTGGTTGATTATGGTGGTTGGTTCTCGTTGTGTTGTGAACCGTCCTTGCGGTGTGTGTGTGTGTGTGTGTGTGTGTGTGTGTGTGTGTGTGTGTGTGTGTGTGTGTGTGTGTGTGTGTGTGTGTGTGTGTGTGTGTGTGTGAGGTGGGGGAAGGGAAGGCGGCTTTGACGATTACGTGAAGGTGAAAGAAGATGGCGGTAAACAAGGCTGTTGGCCTCTGAATCATGTGTGCTGTTGTTGTTATTTTAGATTTAGCTACTCAGAACGAAGTGTCCATGTAGCACGGGCTATGGTGAGCCCGTAACTATGTGTGTTTCTGCCCCCGCGAATCATAGGGGCAGAGGTGGAGGGACAAGACACGCAGAAGGATGAGGGGGAAATGTGTGAACACCGATTCTCAAATTAGTTGTCTGTCATTCAAACACACACAGACACACACGCACACACACACACACTCACACTCACACACACACACACACACACACACACACACACACACACACACACACACACACACACACACACACACACACACACACTCTCTCTCTCTCTCTCTCTCTCTCTCTCTCTCTCTCTCTCTCTCTCTCTCTCTCTCTCTCTCTCTCTCTCTCGTTTCCTCAGCACCATCGCCGCTTAAGCCACAGTGTGTAGTATATGTGTGCATCTGTGTTTGCACTTATGCACTTGAAAATCAATCAAATATTTCCCCGTTTTATCTGCATGAAAAATGCAACAGTAACTCCACAGCTGTTTTCAAGAATTTTCCACAAATGTGTTACAATTTCACGGCTGAAGTTGAATCCAGACACAACACAAACACCTTTGGAACGTTACTCGCAAATCCGCATTCACTGATCTTCCGCGAACACAGACATTCCGTTCGAGGGATCCAACATAAACGTCTTAGAATCTGCAACAGCTGGCGATATATACACACATTTGAATACTACACAGGAATCTGCATTCTGGAGGGCTTGTGCAAACATCTTGCCATATTGCCAGCGATTGAACATGGTGGCCAATGAACCTGCCTACCAGTGAATCTGGCGACGAATGAAGCTGACGACGAATGATCCTGGCGACGAATGATCCTGGCGACGAATGATCCTGGCGACGAATGATCCTGGCGACGAATGATCCTGGCGACGAATGATCCTGGCGACGAATTATCCTGACGACAAATGATACTGGCGACGAATTAACCTGGCGTAACCTCCATACATATAAGAAAATTGAGCGAAGGAGTTCAATGCTCCGCACTGACTCGCTAGTCTGCGCTCGGAAGCGAAGACGCTGATCCCCTTAAGCTCTCGTTTTCTAAAGCAATTAAGCTTCGTTCGATTCAAAGAATTTAATGTGAGCCTTTGCTGAATTATTTTTTTTTGGGGGGGGGAGGGGTGGCGGTGTGTTCAA